TCTTTAGTATCTTCAGCCAGCAAAAATTGATAAGCAATATACAAACGACTCAAATGTTCTATTTCGCGCATTACTTTTTGATATTCCAAATAAGAAGATCTTTCCTGCAAGACAAATCAAAGAATAAATCACCATTTATAGTGTTCAATGAATGTGCGAAGATTCAAACTATAGCAACCCATATGGGATTTCCCATATCCCACTAGATTTTGACATACACAATCATGTCCTTTTAGGAAATTCTAGATAACATCAGAAATCAAGCTATCTAGGTAGTATTCTATCTCTAAGGCATCCTATGTGTCTAAGTTTTCTAATATGTGTAATCAAGAAGTTGGGATTACCAAGGAAAAGTTACCATAAGCACAACAAAGGCACTTGCTCACACGGAATAAACTTGATTCACATAAGGATCTGCTGAACCAGACTAAAGTAAAATACCTAATTTTCAGATAAGAAATGAACTCGGTGGTTAAATGACCTATGCATGTTACAGATAATCTTTGTTTACAGACCTCCCATTTTAAAGACTGGACTTACAACCAAGGCACACTCTTCAGGCTTACCACTCATCTTTTTTTTTTTGTATTTTAGGCTAGGGTCTACAGGATGTTCAGAGTCTCATTACTAGATCGGACTCGTAGTGATCTGCCTGTTTATAGCTTCCCAAGAGCTGGGATTACAGGCGTGCGCCACCATGCCCAGTCTCAATTGCCATCTCAGCACAGCCCGGGGGCAGAGCTGGCATGACAGGCCCAAGGATCAAGTCCCCAGCCCCTACTCATCATTTTTTTTTTTTTTTTTTTTTTTTTTTTTGGTACAGATTTGAACACCTTATTTATACAACCCTCATGTCTTCTTTTAGTAAACTGGTTTAAATACAACCATAATTTTTGCTGATTATACTATACAGTACAGTACTGTAGTTTTAAGTTCTGTTACACAGTACTGCATGTAAGAGTTATTCAAATAAAATCAGTCATCAAGTTGGACGTTAGAACATGTCTTTGTTCTGCATACTGTAATGTATGTACTATCCTCATTTTGTAACCAATCCACTTAACGACATGACCATAAGTGGTTATTAAATGAGGAATGCCTATACTTCATTTAGAAAGAATGAGGCAAAATGAGATCTGAAATCAAAGTTCACATATCTAAGCTAATGTTTATAGTTAATCACGCAGATAAAGGGGATACTTTCAAGATCACAACTGTTCAGTTTTTCCCATATCATCTAAACTGATTCAGAAGACAACCTTAAATAATACCAAATTTTGGGGCCAGAGAGATGGCTCAGTGGAATAAGCACTTCCCTGGTAAGCGCAAGGGCCTGAGTTCAATCCTCAGTTTCACAAAAAAAAAACAAAAAACGAATACCAAATTTTACTGGGCATTTAACAAATTCCTATATGGGTATCTATTAAAAAGTTCTTTCCTATTCTTTCATTGAAACAATGACACATCTCATGATATAAGAAGGTGCAAATATTAGAGAAAACCTAATTATATTTCAATTCCTTTCACATAAAATGCCTGGAGAGCAATGACAGTGACAGTTAACATTATCCTAGAAATAATCTACTCTATCAATGAAGGTTACTAAGAGTGTCATATCTTAAAAATGTTGTCCCAGCCAATTTTAATGATCAAGAAAAGTCAGACTTGTCTCTTTAATACAAGTTTAAAACTTAAAACCTGATATATCATTTTCTGAGAATATGAAGATTCTCCAAAATCATCACCTATATAAAATACATATTTTCTACAACTCTTAAAGCCAAGATACAGAGTCCCAACTTTTTTTTTTTTTTCTGTACTGGGGATTGAATTCAAGATCTTTACTGAGCTATCTCTCTGACCCCCAGAGTCCCAACTTCACTTCCCTGTTTCATCACAGAAAAAAATCACCAAGAAATGACATGTACTTCAACTTCATTTGCATAATTTTGGACATAACATCAATTTTCAGACATTCTAACTGGCTGTCCTCAGATAATAAGCACACATACCTCTTTTAATTTTTGAATGGTTGGAGTAATCTCTTCTTCAAGTATCTGGAAAAAAAAATCAGTATTTGACAAATCACTATGTCAAAACGTTTAAGAATTCTTTAAACATTTTAAGAAAAAGGATGTAAGACAAGCTACATGGAAGCCTAATACAGGAGGATTATGAGTTCACGACCAGTTTAGCAATCAGGCAATTTAGCAAAACTGTCAAAACAAACAAACAAATAAATAAATAAATGGAAATGGTTAGGCTATTGCTTAGTGAAAAAGCATGTGCACAGGATGTGCAAGACCCTGGGATTAGTTACCACCAGAATAAAAAGCAAAACAAGAAAGGCAAGTAGAATAGAAGAAAATGAAAAATTAAAGAAAAAATTTTTTTTCTTACAGCAGAAACTCCAAATACAAAACTGCGCTCTTCTCTAAAAGTATTTTATATGAGTTTAATTACCGTCTTAATTTCTTTTAGCTTAGCTTCTTTTTTTTCAATAGTTTTCTGGGCAGCTATTTTTTTATATTCATACATCCTGGTTCCAGCTGCTTCTT